GATTAAATGAGTGGCATATGTGGCATTTATTTTTTCATTCTGGAAACTATATTTGTGTTCCTTTATGAGGGCTTTGAACGCTCTTCCAGTTTGACCTACATAAAACATCGGACATGACCCACACGATAATTTATACACTCCTGATTTTTCTGAAACTGAACTTTTATCTTTGTTATTCTTAATGTGCATGCCTAAGTTGTTGGTTTGGAAAGCAGTATTTACACCTTTGCTGTGCAGAAAATCTGAAATATATGTAGTGGGTTGGTCTAAGTAGGTTAAGGTTCTATGACTTTTATCCTCGTCTCTTAGAATTTGATAAACTTCTTTCAAAGCTTGACTGTATAACTTTTTTGATAATAAAGAATGTATTAGACCGCTATAGTAATCATTGTTGACGGCTATTTGCTTTATTATATTCAGTTCTTTATTGAAATTCGCCTCTGACAAGGGCACATTTATCAGTCTGTGGATCATACTGTTGAAAGCGGCTACCTTATGCTGATATGGGTGAGTGGACGAATTATGAATGATAATATCTGTATGGGCCGGTTTACGGTACATTGAAAAATCATGTTTGTTGTTAACTTTTGTTATTGTCAAGTCCAAAAAATTTGTAGAGTCTCTATAAGTGTCGCGGTTTTTGTAAAACCCTTTATAGTGAAAATCATACAATAAACTGTATTAATTTTTAATAAGGATTTTCATCAAGTATCGGCCAGTTCTGTTCAATTATAACAAAACTAGTTTTAAATTCATCAATTGTATTAACATATTTTATGTGATTGGGTAATTCATTGTATTCTTTCAAACCCTCATAAAATGATGATTTCATTGACTTAGTAGGATTGTATTTTGGTAAGTGAAGTTGTTGTCATGTATTCCCTCTTGTTTGATGATTATGAATAGATTCAACTTCAAGGTAGGACAACACTTTCTAGATGAGCAACCAAAAGAAGAGGTGACTCAGACAAACCAATCAAAGTCTTTTTTATAAATACAACAGGAAGATTCTCATACTACCAATCCCCACTGAATTGTGATGATGCATTCAACCTAGTAAGTAAACCTTGAACCAATAACTTATAAAGGTAGTGTAGAGAAGAGCTTTGAAATGTGTTCAACACATTTGTACTCCCAATATTGCTGTACTCCCAATATTGCTGTGAATGAGGAAATCATAACTGAGTCTATCTACAAAAAATATTCAATGATTCTAATAGTAGCACATTTCAACAACATATATCCAGTAAAGACTGGAATGAAACAGCAAACACTTTTCCCATGTTCCCATGTTTCCCATGTTCTATGAAACATTCATTTATTACTATGACATTTCATTTCCCGTCACCAAAACTAAATTGAAAAATAACACAAAAAATGGTATTCTCCTGAAATCAAGGAAATGCACGTCCAACTTTGTGAAATGGAAAGGGTAAAAAACAAATACAAGACAAGAGCTACATTGCATCATATAAACAGTTTAAAACATTTAAAAAACAAAAAACGATGACAGATTTTTCAATTCGCCTAATATCAAGAGACCTGGAAAATTATTAAAGAGGAAAATTGTAACAAGCCAAATTGTTCATATTGTTGATAATCAAGAACAGACAATTACTTGGAACACTTTGAGCTCCTCCCAGCAAATCAGAATGGTTTCTGTAAGCACAAATTAACCAGCTCAGCAATTTCCAATTGCCTACAATTTATCTACAGTGCACAGAATAATAGAAATAATGCTCTAGGACTGTTTTATAACTCCAGTTGTTCTTTTGATACTGTTGATCATAATGAAATTGGAAGGGTTGGGAGTATTCCGCTTCAATGGGTAACATCATACTTAACAAACAGAACACAGACGACAATAGTGAATGATGTGGTGATGCATTCAACCTAGTTCATTTTAACATACAGGGATTTTTAGGAAAATAGGATGACCCTTAACATATTACTGACAACACACAATATGAGAATCGCTTGTATTGACAAACAGTGGCTCACAGAAGATGAACTAAAGACAACCGTGATTGAAAACTACAAAATCATCTCATATTTTGCTACATCACAATATCGGAGAGGAGTAAATATATTTGGTAGTGATGAAGTAAATCTTGAACCAATAGCTTATAAAGGTAGTGTAAAGAAGAGCCTTGAAACGTGTTTAACACAAATCAAATCTCCAGACAGAAATAATTTTATGTAAATTATTAGCATATTATAGAACTCCAGACAATGGATTTGGTAATTTCATTAACAAAATAGAACAATTATTCTATGAAATATATAAAAGAGGATACTTTTATTATATGTAGTGACATAAATATTAAATTTCTCGAATGAATTGCAAATAAAATGATATTGAATCTACTACGTGAGTACAATATAAAATATTACATCAAACAGCCCACAAGGGCTGTTTGATGTAATATTTTATATTGTAGCCATTCTGCAACTTGCATAAACGATATCTTCTTGAATGCAGAAATAAGCCATGCCGGATATTACACTCTTTTCTATACGATCATACATATATCAGCTCTGTACTCTTAATATTGCCGTGACAGAGGAAATCAAAACTGAGTCTATCTACAAAAAATATTCAATGATTCCAATAGTAGCACATTTCAACAGGAATGAAATATACTCAGCTAACACTTTTCAAGATAAGTTCCCCATGTTCTATGAAACATTCATTTATGACTATGACATTTCATTTCCCGTCACAAAAACTAAATCGAAAAAAAACAACACAAAAGGTGATTTTCTCCTGAAATCAAGGAAATGCATGTCCAACTTTGTGAAATGGAAAGTGTAAAAAAACAATTACAAGACAAGAGCTACATTGCAGCATATAAACAGTTTAAAAAGAGTATAAATTCTGTCTAAAACATTTTAAAAAATAAAAATTGATGCCGGATTTCTTAATTCACCTAATATCATGAGAGAGCTGGAAAATTATTGAAGAGGAAAATTGTACCAAGCCAAATTGTCGATACTGTTGATAATTAATAACAGAAAACTACTTACTGATTCAATGATGAAAAGTAACTTCATCAATGATTTTTTCATAGATTCTTTTCGAAATGTTAACAAACCTAATAATGATAAAAAAGTCAACATATTCCACAAAAGCTTTTTTCTAACACCAGTGACACCCATAGAAGTAATCTCCATTATGAATAAGACAACAGCTAAGCAGTCTGCTGGCATAGATGACATAAATGGGAAAATTCTCAAATCTGTCTGTACTCTTGTAGCAGAAATTATATATTCAATATCTGGAACATTTCCAGATGTTAAGGATTTAAAATGTATACCTGTATTTAAAAATAAGGGCTCTGCTTGTGACATACATAACTATAGGGGTATATGCATATAGAGACAAATATCTATTCAAAGCATCTCATTGTGATAGATTGAACAAATACTTTGAACGTTTTGAGCTCCTTCCAGCAAATCAGAATGGTTTCCAAAAGCACAAATTAACCAGCTCAGCAATTTCTGATTGCCCAGAGTTCATCTACAGTGCACTTAAGATTGGGTAACTGATTCAATTCCATAATGAAAGTGTGGAATAAAAACATAATACAGAAAAGTGTTTTTTGTATTATTCGGGGTTCATATAAAAGTAGTTGTTTCACGAAGTCTTTCTCATCCAGTTTGTGTCTGAAATTTACTTCTTTGCATGATCTACACATTTTTGTATAGACTAACTTTTTTCAAATTGATTGCTTCCTTCCTTTCTTTGGAAGATTCTCACATTTTTTTGGTATCAAGATAGAAGTAGAATGTCAAATTATTTCTTTCCCTCAAAATTAACCTATTAAAAATATGCCCTTTTCAATTAAAAAAACAATCATGTCCAGTTTTTGCCAAAAAACATAAATCCAAATTATGCCTTATACTTAACCTTGTCTGGTAAATCTATACAATCTATGGAATTAGTTTGGATAGTAAGCTAACATGGGAAGCACATATAAACACTGTATTTTCAAAACTAAGCATTACATGCTATATAATAAAAAATCTACGAGATAATGTTTCAGCAGATATTCTGAAACTGTTATATTTTGGGATGGTTCAGTCTACTCTGCAATATGGCGTGATCTTTTGGGGGCTGATTATGTGCATTAAAAGAAACAATAATGAACTAATGAAGAATGAGGACACTCATCTGTATAATATGAGGATAAAAGAAAGACTTTGACAACCCTATGCAAGGTTATCAGTCTGTGAAAATTCATCAAAGCGTATTGGATCAAATGTTATAATAAAATAAGAGATATAATAAGACGTGAATCTGAATGGCATTCTATTCAGAAAAATAAATTGAGAAATTTCCTTTTATAATATTGAAGAATTTTATATCTCGTTACCTTACTATTGTGAAACTGATTATCGTATGTATAATTTTTTTGGTTTGTTTTGTGACTTACACTATGTATGTGTCCTAATTGCAGTTCATTTGGAGTGAATCCCCTAGATTCATGCACTACCGAATTTAGGAGTTCTTCAAAGGTTTTTATGCGAGTTGCCCAGTTTGATTGCTGAATGACAGAATACACATATTTTTCTCCTGATCTCTCTCATACATTCTCTCATAATTCCCGCTAGAATTAGCCGCAGGATGCCAAATAAAAATATATACCAACTTTAACCCCAAAGCATGGAAGATTTAGTGCCACCATTTCGAGGTAAATTGAGTTGCATTATCATGCAGTTGTGTTAGAAGGTAGTCTTACTTACAACATTTGTAATAGGGACTGTGGTCACTTTTTCTTACAGTGATGTTTTGTGTTAGCAACGATGGTATTTAGGGATGGGAATCATAAAGAATGAGGTATTGTTAAGCTCCATCCATTCTAGATGGTGGATGTTAGAAACTTCAGTTGTTTATAACAATGGATGTTATACGCTCATGTAAACGTGATCGATTAAAGCTGATGAAATTTCTAGTGTTCTATTAAGGTAGGGGTTTATACCATTTGAGTTGTACTTACATTTATGAAACAAAGTAATGTTATCAGATCTGATCAACAAGTTTGAAATTTTGATGTTGCGGCTCTGGTATAATGTTGAAATACTTCTTGAAAAAATCTGTGCCTTTTCGATGGCCATGGCATCTTTGCACCCATGTATGGGTCCAATCTGGATTCGTTTTTTCACATGTAACTGCTACTCTTCCATGCGTGAGAGCGAATAGCGTACCATTTCTACCTAGACCAACATTTAGTCCCGGGTGAAAGCGTAAATGACGTTGTAGGACTAGAATGTGCCCTGGGTGTACATAATGACCATCTTGGACTTTCCAACCTCTATGCTTAGGTCTCACTTTTGGACTAGTATTCCTAGTACTTCCCTTTGCTTTTTTACTGGCTAATCGAACAGTACCTAACTGAACCTTTATTGTATGTAAGAAAGTATTCCTCACAAGGTTTGATACGAAATTCATTTTCAGAAAGCAACAGTAACCTGTAACCTAATTTAATAGACATGACATTGACATATGAGGCATAGAGATGGGTCGGAAGTCGGAATTTGAGAAACGGTATTTTGGAACACGATTTTTTGATATCGTACGGTCGCGGTATTTAAGAATTATACACGACGGTATTTTGCAATAGACAGTATCTCGCATAGTATAGTATTGTATTGCGTCGCGTCTCCTCTTCGCCTCAGTATATTGTAATGTTTCGCCGGGTGTCATGAAACCGGACTCTATCGCGGTGCTTTGCTGTGAGAATGGAATGCGATCGCAATATATCATCCACAAGCTATTATGGATATTTTTGGCAATTATATAAAAATACGAAAACTTTTTCGTATCATTATTATTTTTTGATAAATTCTCGTCGCGTTCGCGAAAGGAACGTTCCAATATAGGAGGGGTGTTCTCCATTTTTAATGAGGCATATTCTCTCTTTATTTTTGAAAGGTCATTGTTTCCTTCTCAGGTGCATTCAATCATCACTCCTCCTGTTTCATAACTGCCGTCATGGGACAGAAGCTTTGTCCAGGGACGCGAGACTTTTTGCGTTATGCAACCCTTTCTTTTAGTCCTTTTGATGTCTTCTTGGCTTTATGGGAATGATTTGTGAAATTAAGTAAGGATATACCGATAATGAGGAACGGAGATATCCCTAGCCCTCTTTCATATTTTTATTTGATTTTTATCATAAATTTGTTTAGTATTTCAATGATTCTCACATTTAGATATCTAACGACACGACTAGGGGTACTGACCATGTCTAGGAGTGCTGGTATTCTGGTTATTATTGTCGTTTGATAAATATTGTACTGAGGAATAATATTGAGGGTACAATAAAAAAAAAGATTTTTTGTTTCCTGTTTCCCACATGCGCAAGTAGGCGGTTCATTTACACCTATCCAGAATTAATGTACTATATTCATGCAACGTCCAGTTTTCAATCTAATAATAGTTGTTATGTTATGAATGAACTGACCCGTTACTTGATGACAATAATACTATACATGATAATAATTAAACGATTCATGGCTGGAACTTTCCAATACCAAGTTATCTAAAGATACTAAACTATATATATTTCACCTTTCTTTTGTATGTTGTGTTTCCATTGATCATGGAATTGTTTCCTGATCTTGTCTTTTGATTGTGGTAGAAAATTTTGTTTATCTATTTTGATATCCAAAGGAATGTTAAGAGCTTGCTGATTTTATCCAATATGTCCGTTTTCTCATTTCCTTCAAAATTTGCGTGTCCTGATTTACACGCAAATTTGAAAGTAGTGTTTGTTAATTGAGGTACGTACTTATCTCTTTTATATTTGAGGTGATATATTCACTATTTATTTATTTCTTCCTGAAGCAGTAGGGTATCCGGTAGTTGAAAGAGACAGTGAATCAAGGCAATCGCAGCAATTACGTGGTGCGCTTTCGTCAACTTCACACCCGCCAGTTTTTTCCACTCGCCACACCTTTGTGATGCCGCCCCGGAACACGTAGTGGATGTGAGTTGATGATAGTCTTGTGGGATTGTGTGGAGTAGGTGACAACAGTCAGATAGCATGAAAATAGTGATTTCGTTTGTAGGACACTTACGTGTTTTATTTTTTAATGTTTCACTGTGCGATTCCTTAATGTGTTCACAAAATACATGGTTTGAGAAAAAACATGACGTCAATGTGTGGCAAAATACACTATTTAAAAAAACATGGCAGTTTAACGGGGCTCTAACGTTGCAACGAAAGATCCCTCAATGTGTACATGGTGTCCCAAAATACATCAAGACAAAAACTATGGCGTCAATAGGTGTGGCAAAATATATCATTCAAGAAAAAAACATGATAGTTCAGCGGGACTCCAACGTTTCAACCCGCGACCCGCACTCCAATTTTCTAATGAAGAACGTATACGGTGTGTGACTCATCTGAAGTGTGTACTTTCATTTGTCATTCATGTGTGTTCTTGCTAGCTTAGTTGACATCATCAGGAAATGACGAAGAAAAAACATATTTGGTGCGCGCAACTGTTTTATTCATTACCCGAATAATGAAGACCAAGATTAAACATTACTTTTATGAATACAGCTTATTTTTCTGTCTTGTTTTACATCCCGCCACCATGTTAAAATCCCCGTTCTAACCCCCTCTCTTTAGTGTTGCCAACACTGTCTAACCCTATATCATAAAATGTGTACTAATGCAAAATCTTTCCCCTTTTGGACTTAAAGCTAAATATACATTTCAGTTCTACCTAATTTACATAATCAACCAACCACTTGGGTTTCGTTCTAATTCGCTATTGCCGATTATTTAATTGACTTTCAGGTTTTTGTTTATTCTTAACTGAACTACTAATTTCACACGCACTTTCCACCTTTGACTCCACAAATTCATTAGTGCACTCACTAGAACTATTATCACTTGTACCTAAGTTTACATCTGAGTGTGAAGAACTACTGGGCACCGGTTCTGGTAATGTTGTTTGGGTCTGACTGTCGAAAGATCGAAACTATGCATATGGTGCTAATACCAAAAACCAATTATTTCGCTGAAAATTCCCCCCACTTGTTCTAATAAGATAAGATCGTGGTTCATCTAATTTTTTAACCACTTTTCTGTAACATCCCAAATCAGTGATTCAAACACCAGGAAAAAGCTCTGACAATTCTTTAGCCTTGTGCCTTTTATCAAAATCACATTTGAGTTTATGTTTCCTTCTTTCCTCAGTTTCAATCGAAGATTTAGTATCCACTAATTCATCTAGTTCTCTCGGCAATATAAGTAAATTAGTTCTCAATTTACGCGACATCAGCAATTCCGCTGGGCTAAACCCATTTCGCAAGGGGGTGAGTGGATCTATGAGACAATAATGCTTTTTAATGATTTTTTTTTGCAATTTCAACTGCGGCTTTCGCCTTCCCATTCGACTGTGCAAAATACGGACTTGATGTGACATGTTTAAAATTCAGCTCATGTGCAAATTTTTTCAACTCCGATTGAAACTGCGGACCATTATCGGTTCTAATCGATTCGGGAATACCAAATCGTGCAAATACTTCCTTACATTTCAATATAATGACCTTCTGTGTCATTCCTTTCAAAGGAATTACCTCAAAATATCTTGAAAAATAATCAGTAATAATGAGATACCAGACATCGATACATTTAAATATATCCATTGCTACCTTTTGCCATGCTCTGGTGGTAATATCATCTTTCAGAAATGGTTCTTTAAAGTTAATTCTTTCCTCAACGCAATTCGGACAATTACAGATCATGATCTCCAATTGAGTCGATAGCCTCACCCACCACACTGATATCTTTGACCTCTCTCTACACTTAGATATCCCTTGATGACCTAAATGCAAGTAATCCAAAACATGTTTCTGCAACATAGGGGGAATAATAACTTGAGCAAAAAAATGTCATTCAACGATATTTCGTTACGATATTGAAAGTAAACCCCCAATTCAGGACATAGTTCCTGTTCATTAGGCCATCTAATTATTGAGTATTCAATTAGCTTTTTACAAACTTGATCTTCATTCTGTTCCTCCAAAATTTTACTCGAAAATTCATCTTCAATCGGTAAATGTTTTATAATAAAGTTTACATGAACGTCAACTTCATAGTCTAATTCCGGTGCCCCTGTATACTTCAATGGATTTCTACTTAGTGCATCCGCGATTACCAAATCTTTTCCCGGAATGTAATTCACTTCATAAGTATATCGCATCAAACGAATTCGAAACCTTTGTAACCTTGGTGACAATTCGTCTACATTTTTACTAGTTAGTATCTGAATGAGTGGTTTATGGTTCGTTTCTAAATATAATTTTGAGAGCCCCAAAACATATTCTTTCAATTTTTCACAAGCCCTCGTTCACCCTAGACACTCTTTTTCTATTTGCCAAGTCCAAGATGAAGCATCTGAACTAACAATGATTTTTTTTATTCGGATTGCAATAAGAAAGACCTTTCCTAGTAAAGGAATTGTCTTCCTAAATGCATTTTGTTGTGAATGGCCCCATACAAACATAACGTTATTCTTAAGTAACTTATTCAAGGGACCTAAAATTTCTGATTTATTCGGTATAAATGTGGCTGTAAAGTTAACCATGCCCAACGACTGCATCAACTCTTTTTTATTACTGGGCTCCGGAATTTAGAAATAGCCTTGACTCTACTCTTCTCAATTTCTATACCGTTTTCCGAAACAACGTGCCCTAAAAAATGTATTTTAGTGACCCCAAATTGTCATTTGTTTTTATTGAGTGCAATACCTTCACCTTGTAACCTGCGTAGAACATCTCGCAATATTTTATCATGTTGTTTCATGGTCGACGCATGAATCAGAATATCGTCGTATGCATAACTACCCCTTCCAAATCCGATATTTTTGAGAATTTGATACTGAAATACTCCGGCGCACATGAAATCCTAAATGGCAACCGTGTAAATCTATATTTTTCGAAGGGAATTATGAAAGTTGTCAAATTTTGACATTTTTCTTTGATTTACATTTTATAGAACCCGGAATTTGCATCTAATTTAGAAAAATATTTAGACCCATTTAATTTATTTAAAGTTGTTTCGACCTTGGGAATTCCGAAGAGAGTTATGAAAGTTGTCAAATTTTGACATTCTTCTCTGATTTTTATTTGATAGAACCCGGAATAGAACCCGGAATTTGCATCTAATTTAGAAAAATATTTAGACCCATTTAATTTATTTAAAGTTGTTTCGACCTTGGGAATTCGGAAATGTGGCCTCAAAACACTTTGATTTAATTTTGTGTAATCCCCGCATAATTTTATCGCCTCCCCTTTTGGTAAAACCACTGTCGGAGCAACCCATGTGGTTGGCTCGTTCTCCGGTACTATTATCCTCAGAGCTTCCAATCATTTCAACTCTGTCCAAAGTTTATCCAACAATGGTAGAGGAACCACCCTGGGCGCAGCCTGTACAAAGGGTACAGCTCCTTCCCGTATTTTTATTTCCATTTCTTGCCGAAATTCTCCCATGT